GAGCTCCTTCTCTAAAAGATTTAGACAGCTTCGTTGCTGTAAAGCACGTTATAGGAAATCTTTCCTGCCTTACTCCATTAATTTGTACAACACATCATCTTGGAGCATTAGACGATTCTTGGATTGAGAGTAATTGTATACTGAATCTGCTTTGTATAGATTTGCATATGTTTCATTCATCATGTGATTATGTATATGTACTTGATTGTGTTGGGTTTGTTTTTAACTTTTAATGTTTGTTTTTTTTTACTTTGTTTTATATTTTTATATTTTTAGTGAGTTATCTATTCTATTTATTGGTATGTGTGCTTGATATTGAGTGTGAACCGCTGCTGAAACAATGCAATTTCCCAAATTGGGATTAATAAAGTATTTCTATCTATCTATCTATCTATCTAAATACTACTCTATTCAGAATAATTGTAATATTAAATGATCCTTTAAATTGGGGAGGTTTGTCTGAATTAATTTAGTCGGCATCACACTCTAGCCATGACAATGACTGTTGTGTCATTTTAAATTTTTAGAAGTTTGGGCCATCTGAAGTGCAGCACGAGTTAGGGTCAGGGGGTATGTATAGGGAGCAGCTGTTGGTGGTATGTCTGAGGTGAAATGGGTGAGAGGTGTGAAGTTATCAAACCTATTCAGGTCATCTGCCAGTTGATGGTCTTACATTCATCCTGATGTTTTTCAGGATGAATGTAACCTGGATTGTACTACTAATGTCTCAGTGTTGTTTAGAATGCCACTGGGAATGTATTGAGTGCTGACTGCATCAAAGGACAGATACAGAACCCTGCAGGCTTCATCTGTTTTACAGAATTCAGGTAATCTCAACTAAGGGTTATTTGTTTAGCACCAAACTCAGGTCTAGACCTCACTATTATCACAATTATTATAGAGAAAAATTCATAAAATCCCACTTGAGCAGCACAGGTCTAGACTTTACTTTGTAAAGTGTCCTGAGATGACCTTTGTTGGTGCTATACAAATAAAATTTGACAGTTTGACAATTTGATTTGACAGTTAAACTTGTTAAGGCACCAGAAGGCCTTTGTTTCATTTGAGTGAGGATGCAAACTCAATAGACTAAGACTCAGGATGGAAAATGAGGTTTATTGACAACAGTGCACAAAAAGTGGCCAAAGCAAGCTGGAGGATAGTTGTAGTTCCCACAGTTGTCTGGTAGTGTTCGCTGAAGGTCACAGCAGAGAGGATCTGAGGTGAGGTTGGCAGAGTAAAGCTGCAGCAAGGCAGGCAGAGTGGAACCAAGATGAGGGAGGCAGAGATGAGTGAAGACAAGGTATGCGGAGTGAGCTGGGGCGAGGAAGGCTACTCACGGGCGATGTCGGAGAGGTGGAGCAAGACCAGAGTCAGGTAATGTTGAGGAGATACACAGGTGACTGGGAGAGCACTGGACTGGAGATGACTCATGCTGCATTGAGGAAGAGAGTCTCTTCAGGAGCCAGGCGGTGGCGACGAGACACACAGGAGAGTGAGGAATGCTGGGTCGAAGAAAACCCACAACTGCGTCAGACAGTTGAACAAGACAGGAACCTGGCAGCAGCAAGGAAACCCATGCAAAAGCAGTATAGATGTGAGGGAGCACTGGCAGAGGACCTAACAAAACTACTAACTTTTATCCTTTGTTTGATCACCCAGAAAAGCAGCACATAGTCTTATTTACTGCTCTAGAAAGTATAAAAAATGTTATTACATAGAGCACATGACATGATGGCACATGGAAACAGTCGATAATATACAGTTTAATTTTATTACAAGAATTACAATAACACAAAATGATGGCTTCATTAACTTTTTTCTGTGCTTGTTGAGTCTTTGAATGATGTAGAACCAATCAGTTTTTCTACCCTTAGATATCCAGAAATCACTGTTCTGATCTGAGGCAGGTTCAGACCATAAACCAGAGGGTTACTGATGGGAGGAATGATTATAAACTCCAGCGATAAAACAACAATGACAACTGGCTTTGCTTCATCAGTCTTATACTGACTCAGTGAAACCTCACAGAGAACTGAGATGCAAAAGTTCACAAAGGTCACTATGTGGGGCAGACAGGTCTGTAAGGCCTTTCCTCTGAATTCAGATGAACTTCTCCTGCAGACAAGCAGAATGTGCAGGTAGGTGTACAGGACAAAAGACAGAGGGATGAAGACTGATGTCACAGCAACAAACTGACCGACTATGTTGAGCACAACTGTGTCCACACAGGAGAGCTCAACTATAGACCAGATGGTGCAAAAAATCCTCTGCAGTTTATCTCCACATAAAGGTAAACTGGTGGACAGAAAACAGTAGCCGAAAACACACACAGGATACAGTACAGCAAAAATCAAAAGCAGCAGCACTGTCCTAAATGTCATTTTACTGTGATAGTGTAAAGGCTGGCAAATAGCAACAAACCTGTCATAAGCCATGACTGTTAGAACATTCACTTCATGCGCTTTGTAAGTGTGAATAACATACATCTCAGTGAAACAGAGCGGACGTGAGATGAAATGAGTGTCGGACAGAAGGTCCATCAGGAACCTGGGGAAGAAGCCGGTCGAGCCGTACAGAGAGTTTAAACACAGAGAGCAGATGAAAATATACATGGGCTGATGCAGAGAGTTCTCCAGGCAGACTGACAGAACAATGACAAGATTAGCAGAGATTATAGTCATGTAGATCAACAGA